TATTGGATATTTTATCCATTAACATACCGAGTACGGTTATGTTTATAACATTGTAGAGAGCAAGGGACAAGGTGCCGGCCATGCAATTTTGATTGATGGAAATTGTCGACTCCAATCAATGAATGATAAATTCAGCTACACTGGCAAATTCGATAACGTTGTTTCTAAAACAGGAGAAGCATCAAGCTTTCCTTTTATCATGCAAACAGTTCAAAATCCTCCCAGTTGCAGTGATATGCCATCAGCAATTGCTGCAAGTGATCCCACAAAGACATCACTCGCACGATTAAGCAACAATGGAAATTATCAAATCACAAGTAATATTGTACCACCTTCAATATATACATATGTTGCAACTCCTATCTCCAAGTTACCAGCTACAACAAAAGTAACAAAAAAGTCGACAGCTGTTAAAAATCCTCCATGGATTAAACAATACAAAACATTATCTATGCTGCCAACTGCAATCAAAACACCATTCAAGACAGTATTTTCAACAGCTCATAAAACTCCATTCAAGACAGTATTTTCAACAGCTCATAAAACACCATTCAAAACTCCATTCAATACAGTATTTTCAACTGCACATAAAACACCATTCAAAACTGTATTTTCAACTGCTCATAAAACACCATTCAAAACTCCATTCAATACAGTATTCTCAACTGCACATAAAACTCCATTCAAAACTGTGTTCTCCACAGTTCATAAAACTCCATTTAAGACTGTATTTTCAACTGCTCATAAAACACCATTCAAAACTCCATTCAATACAGCATTTTCTACGGCTCATGATACTCCATTCAAGACCCCATTTTCAACAGCTCATAAAACACCATTTAAGACTGTATTCTCCACAGCTCATAAAACACCAATCGAAACTCCATTCAAGACAGCATTTTCTACGGCTCAAAAAACGCCATTTCAAACAGTATTTTCTTCTCCAGGTGTTTCTAAATACGCAACCCCATTTTCGACAAGACATTCAACACCAAATAGTACGCCTTTCTCAACTGCTCACTCCACAGTATTTTCAACACCCCATAATACGCCATTTGTGACATTTGCTCCCACAAGATCTGTTTTCCCCGGATGGTATGTTCCTCCAGAATCATTTGAAGGGCCAAGTACAAAGACATTAATTTCTACATGGTATGAAACCAATGTTGCAACAAAAATAGTTTTTGAAACAAATATAACAGATGAGGACGGAAAGTACTATGTAACATATACTGATCAAGAAACTGAAGTAATTTCAATTATCGCGATTCAAACAGAAGCATATATTTCTCTCCAAGTAAATTCTGGAGGTGAAAAACAAAAAGCAAAATTTGGATTACCAATGATCATTGGAATATCCGCTGGTGGGGCTATTCTTCTAATTCTCTTAGTTGCTCTAATTTTATTCTTTACATTAAAAGCAAGGAAAGAAGAATCTTTTGAATCAAGTTTGGAAATGGCTGAAGAGACAGCATATAATGTTCACTCTTCACAAATAACATCTGTTACGAATGACAATCCACTTTGGACTACCACTATTGAAGGTGATCGTGAGGATCCATTTAAAGATGACTTCAATGAAATAGTGAATGATAATTTCTTCACTATTAAAGAAACCGGCCTTGAATAACATTATTATCTCTTCTTGTTTGATCTATATAAACGTATGTATATCTAAGTTATGATGATTAAAAATTTACCACTTCATGTGATTCCCATGAGAAATTTAAAGCTTTCTTCAGCATTTAAATCATATGAATCAAAACTTTTTGTAAATTTTTATATGCCTATGATTATATATGAATAGCTTAATATGCATATTTCATATGAGCTAAAAAAGAAACTACGGACAACATAATGAACAAATAGTATCTCTTGTATTTTGATTTGATAAATATTACCATTTCATTTTTGTCTCAATTAAGTAAGGGTGTCGTTTTGTCTCCCCCAAGTTGGGACACTAGGGGACAAAAATTGAGGAGATTTGTTTGATGAAGTCGAGTTCCTTTAAATTAAGAATCAAAAATTATTTCCATTAAAATAGAACAATCAGTAATAAGATATAGATGCATATAATCAAAAAGAAATATAAATAACAAATGCAAAAGATCAGTAATAATATATAGGTGCAAATGGCCAATAACAGGATATAGGTGTATAAGATCAAATAGAAATATAAGAAACTATATACTCAGTGCAATGATCAAATAAATAATAAGATATATGTGCAAATGATATAAGTCAATCTAATCAAATGATAGTTTTACCATGTATAAAAAAATGTAGTAAAATATACAAACAATAAATATAAATTATTTATTCATCAAACATTTCTTTAATTACAGTAATTCTTCTCATTACATCATTTTGTATGAGAGCTTCTCCGGAGTCAACTTTTCCGCCAGAAAGGAGATTCTTTATTCTGGACAAAGAGTCAGGCGATGCATCCTTCAAGACACGCATTGCTTTGACTGAATCTGAACTTGTTATCTGTTTCAATGAGTTGGAAATCGAATTCTGGAGTGACAAAGGCCATTTATCTCCAATCAAATTCCTTAAAGATGCTGGAGTTTCAACCATTTCCTCAATTTCTTGTTTAATTTCAGGAATTTGCTGTTGGGCATGAGGAATTTCAACAATTACTTCATCGACAAGTTCAGGAGATGTTGGGATATCACTACTTTCAGGGATTTCAGTTGAATTCTCATCAAAAAACCGAAATTCTGAAATTTTTGCAGTGAATTTCTGGTTGAAAGGCTTTCTTTCAGGGAGAACAGGTGTTTTTAGCTCTTTTACACCCTTTATTGCACATATTTGCTGCTTCAAATTCTCAATTAAACTCTTTTTGTTCTCAATTGACTTTTTGTAGGCTTCTATCTGCATTTTGTAGTGTTCTATCTGCATGTCAAGCTGCGTATTTTCGTTCTTGTAGACGTCAAATGATCCAAAGAGTTCTTTTTTGAGTCTCATCAGTTCATTCTGGTTTTTTGTGTAGGAAACCTTTCGGGTCTTCTTCAATTGCTCGGAATTCTTCTTTTCTTCCATTGTTTTCTTCCGGATCTCGATTAATTGACCGACCAAATGATTTTTATATTCTTTTTCTTTGTTTGACTGGCCATGGCTCTGTATGGAGTTTAGTATGATGTTCTGGGACTCAACGGGCAGCAAACAGTCATCGTTAAACGAAAGGTTGGAAATATCATTTGAGATATTTTTGTCTTCAATGAGTTTTTTGATCTGTGTTATCTGGTTCCTGCATATAAAGATCTGGAATTCAGGGAAACAGATGCCAGTAAAGAACTGGAGTGGCATTAAATTCAATTCTTCAGGAGCAGGAGTTTTAATCGACAAAAGGAGAGGGATTTTCATCTTTACTGATGATCTGTTGGACAACAAGAAGCAGAAATAGGAGTAAATGGAAGGAATTAAATTCTTATAAACGGAAATCGTGTTAAAGAACGCGATAATGTAATCGGAAGTCTTGAACGAGTTCTTAGTGTCATATTGGATGAGTTTGGCCACAAAACTTCCTATTTTTTGTATAGGTTGATAGTCAATTTTTTGAGATTTAGTAAATTGATCGACAGCGGCAACAAATTCCGTGCAATTATTGACTCCTAATGGCTGATTATCAATACTTTTCAACAAATTCTGGATTCTTCCCACTAATTTTTCAATTTTAATTTTATTCAAGTGGGAAGTTATCTTCCAGAACGCCGTATCAATCTCATAAGCCTGTGTCTGCGTTGGAGAGAAGAAATCCGGTACAGTATTGTTCAATCTCAACAAGTTCATAATATTATGCAAAAAATCTTTGTTTGAAGCACTATCAGTATCAGCCAAAGTATAAACAAACATTATAATGTTAGAAAATCCATCAATGAAACGTTTTTTGTTAAAATGTTTCAAAGAATTCATTAAAACACTCTCATTCTTGATGGAAGGCTCGATTTCAACCATTTCATTGATGATTTCATCACGGAGATTGAAAAATCTGAACAAATAAATGAAAATTAGCAAACAATTCAAAATATCTTGGTTGTTTGAAAGAGAATTCGAAGAAATAATAAGAAGGAAAGCACTGACGTCAAGAGATCCACGTGATATCATGTCAAGTTGCAAAATTAAGTCACTATTCTCTTTTGAATAATTTTTTTGGAGGTTTTGACATGATTTCACGACCAATTTGGTCAGAACTCTATGGTCAATTGACAATGACTTGATAAATTGTACAAATTGACCGATAAATTTTGGATCATCTTGATTTTTCAAAAAATCTAAGTCATTTTCATTCAATCCAGGCAAAACAGACCTTTCCATCAAGTATAACAAACTATTTCCGAACTCATCAATCAATTCTGAGTGATTTAAAACACTTTTTGGCTGATTATTAAAATCAATTCCATGATTTTTGAAAAATTCAAACAAGTAATCATAACAAACATCATTATTACCATGTATTGCTGCATTGTGTTGACAGGGAATCAACAAACTCACAGTATAAAACAGTTTTGGAGCCAAATCTTGTTTAATTTGGCGAAAAATCGATCCGAAATCAGGAATTTCGCTATAATTCACTTTGTTTGCATCAACATCAAACAAAAACTGCAACAAAGGTGTGAAAGAAGTGTTAGATATTTTGAGATATTCAATAAAAAGATAAACAAAGTTTTTTCTTATATATTTCATAATACTATTATAATTATCATCATATATACTAATTAATTTTGATTCAATTTGATTTTTCAAAAAAATTATTTTTTCATTTGACAAAATTTCAGTCAAAACAGGTATAAAAACATCTTTCTTCATTGCGATGGATGCCAATGTGCGCACATAAGTCAAAGAAACAGAGTTATCATAGGAACATATCGATAAGTAGTCCAATGTCATGAAAAACATGTGGACAAGGTAAATTTGTGTAAGTTGGTCGGTCAAACCGATAATTTTTTCTGAAGAAGAGCCATTGAATTCGGAATAAGCTTGATTCATCACTGATTCTGATAAAAGACTGATGACATCACTGAAATTGGATGGCCTAGTGATTAGTTTAGAGATTCCGGTGATGAAATCATGTGAAAAAGTGTTTGTATCCAAATTTGAAAAAGATTTTAAAGAAAGAAACACTTTTTCAAGGTTTGGAGGATACAGATGGCTACTATTAATGTCAATACCTGCATCCGATGTCACTTTGATGTCTTGTTTCGTAAGTGCGTCGATGACATTTAATAATAAAAATTTTTCTTCGTTTGTGATATGCATTTTACCTGTAAAAACACTTGCATTGTCTGATGTTGTCGATTCTATGTTCAGTTTGATGTTTAATTGTATGGAATCTAGTTTTTGAATTGTATATCTGTTAAAACATGCGGAAATGCTATTGATTGACTCTGCAAAAACAATAATCTCTTGTATCTTTTTGATATTCGTAGTTAGCTGGTCAAGAAACTGCGTAAAATTTTCAAATTTTATAAAAGCTCGAGTGTGATTTGGTCCTAAGTCAATTTCTTCTATTAAAATGAGCAATTCAGTTATGATACTTAACGTGTCATTAATGATATTTGTATCTAATCGCTCGTTACTTGAAAATTTTGATAATAATTCGGTAATTTTAGTTTGAAAAACCTCTGCTGACTGACTTCTCGGAAGATATGGTATAATTGTGGCTAGTCGGATCGTCCAAAATCGAATTTTTATGTATAAATCAAATGTTTGTAAAACATAAGGTCTTGCACCACATTTTGGTACCGAATTCATGATGTAAAGAAGTGAGCACCACTTTGTGATCAAATCATCGTTGGATAAATTTGGAATTTCACGAGAAAATTGTTGCAAATTTGTAAAATGAGGCTCAGGACCTGATTTAATCTCCATAATTCGATGAGTAAGTTCTTCCCTAAATGAGTTGGACTCCGATTGCGGTATTTTAATGTAAGAAATTTTGTTCCGCTTTTGGGAGTCGTTCATTTGACCCTCAATTTCAAATTTTCTTATAAATCTTGCTATTGTTAAAGGATTTTTATCACACACATAAAATAATGCAAATATTACATATAAACATTGTGGTTTTGACTTAATTTTTTTCAAATCAATTTTTAGATCTAGATTTATTCCTACATTTTATTAGAAAATCCCAGAAACAAAGTGAATCATTGCGATTAATCACATTAAATACGAATTTAATTTGAGATGTTTGATTTCACAAAATTTAATCATTTATTCTTGATATCATGTCGATAGTTTAGAATGAATTAGTGAGTTATGACAAACATTTGCTCTTTTGGCTCATTTTTATTGTATGATCAGTAAGAATTTTTATCTTGATGCAGCACTCCGCGTTTTGCATTGTACGCCAAATACACAAGACAATGTTAAGAAGTTTTGCAATAGCACCAAACAAACAGATTCTAATAAATTCATTTTTTTACTAAATGAATATTTCAATCTCTTAGATCAGAACTATAAAGATCTATCAAAATATCCAAATGTTGAATTTATTGAAATTTATATTAATCAAGTTACAAAAAATGATCCTCTCCTTCCATCTTTCAAAAATTATTTTATTTTTCTACTACAATATCTGGAAGACAATCAAATAATACCATTTACTCAATATGATAATTTACCAGAAACAATTAACAAACAATTTTTAAGAGGTTATTGTCACATTTCACGTCTTTCCGATAATCAAATAGCATTTTTTTATACAGAGGCGTTCATTGGTATATTTACATGAATGATTTATTCATGGATATAGATTTTCTTGAAATTGACCAAAGCAAAACAATAATTTTGTTTGAAACTAACAATCAACTGTCATATTGGCGTAATTTGAAGAATTCTAACATATCAGATATAAGTTTGAACACATCACAATATGATTTTCCCAATACTAAAATTAAAATTTTGATTATTGATCAAATCAAAGAAGTAGTATCAGGAATCCAAGAAATAATGAAGCCAACAACTTATAGTGACTTAGAAAGATATGCAAAAGAACAATTCCCTTATTCAGACTCTATTAAAATTTCTTTTATCAATAAAAACAACGGATTCAAAGAACTGACAAAATACAACTATTACAATCATTGTGACGAGCAAATTACAATTCAAGGGGTTACTTTTAATCCAAAATTCAAGTGCATCGTGATAACTTCGAAAGATCCAATAATAACATCATATTCTTTCTATTTTAATGCAATAGATCCAAAAGAACGCCTATCAGAAATATTTGAAGATGAAAATTTAGAATTATTTTATTTATTAGAAAATTCTCTTGCACCTGCTACAAATACAAAAGATAATAACATAGATACACTCTATTTATTCATTCCAGGATTTGCTTTACAACCAAGATTAGTTTGAAAAATAACATCCAAAATAAACTAATCGAATTATATTTCTATTCAGGGGTTTTTAAAATGGGGTGCAAAAAAGTGCAAACACGATTATTTAAAATTGAATTTTCTCATTTTTTTCCGCGTTTGAAATTTTTTGCATATTTTACATTATGACCCTACGCATGTGCATTGTTTTGCTTATTCAAACAGTTTATTTTTGAGTGAATCTCTCTGTATTTTATTTTTCTGTGTTGTAAATCTCAAAATTTCAAATTTACTAAATCCTAAGAATAATCATTATACTCAGAATTCGTTTTTAAAATTTCTATAATATAGTAATAACATCAAGGAGAAATGCAAATAGAATCTGAACATCATTATCATTATCTATATATGATCACAAGTCATATAGTCGTTTTCTTTCTATATTTTAATTGAAAAGTTTAATTATTCTTTTATTTTTTTTAATGAAACTTATCTTCGAAAATATCAGAAAAAGAATAAATAGTATCTTATGTAAGAGCATTATTCGTTACCACCATGTGAAATAAGAAGTTCAGCTGTTTCTATTCTATTATAAGTTGCAGCAATTTGAAGTGCGGTTTCCCCATCATTATCTTTTTCATTGATATTCGCACCATGTAAAATAAGAACTTCGGCAGTTTCTTCACTATAGTTCATTGCTGCATAATGAAGAGCGGTTTTTCCATTTTCATTTTTTTCATTGATATTTGCGCCATGTGAAATAAGAAATTCAGCAGTTTCTTTATTATTGTGCATTGCTGCAACATGAAGTGCAGTCTTTCCATAATTATCTTTTTCATAGATACTTGCACCATGTGAAATAAGAAGTTCGACAGTTTCTATACTATTATTTTCTGCTGCAATATGAAGAGCTGTCTGTCCATTAATATCTTTTTCATTGATATTTGCACCAATTGATAGGAAATATTCTAAAAGGGATGGAATATTAAACATCACTGAATAAATAATGCATTTGTTAATTGCATTAGTTTGATCAAAATAAACTAAAAATGATTCAAGATTATTATACAATGCACAATAATTCAAATCTATTTCTATATTGAACTCATTCATCAAGAATGTAACAAAATCAATATTGTGTGAAATAATTGCATAATGCATGCTTTCTTCATCTGGTTCTTGATATTTCAAACATTCACTCATGATATCTGGATTTCCGCCTAAAAATGAAAATTCAAGACATCTTTGAGTTATTTCTGAGCTAAATTTTGTTCTTAAAAACTTGAAACAATCAACTGCTCCATGGTAACAACATAATTCAAGTAATGAATATCCTTCATAAGAGTATGGATATAAATCGCATTTAAGTTTTTGATTTTGATCAATTTCATCTCTTTCAGTGAATATGATGAATTTTTCTAGGTCATTATTCATAATCGCGCTGTAAATTGTATTTTCTGTATGAATATCAAGATTTTCTGTTTTAAAATTTTCGAAATCAAGAGATTTGTCTAATTTAATTCCATATTCTTTATAAAGCAGAAATTTGGAAATGATATTAATTCTTTTGACCTCTTCTACATGGTATTCATCAGATATCAGTTTGGAAAGAGATAAATATGACTTTGTATAGCGATTATTATAAGGAATGATATTTAAAATATCTTTTATAATATTTGTGGGGAGACGTTTCTTTGAATCAATCAATTCTGTTTTGATTATTTTGTAAATTGAGTTTAAATCTTCTTCATTTTCCGTTTTTTAGCATTGTACGAATCGATGTAGTATTTGTAGTTACTTCGTAATTCGATGTATTTGTTTGGATGAATGTCTTGATTGGAAATTAAAAAAATTTTAAAAAGGGCCTAATTGCGTTTTTACCATATAAAATAATTCACAAACTCATTAGAAGAAAAACTATTTTATACATGCGGAAAACAATGATCCCAAAAATTTCAGATCTAATTTATGAATTTAGATTAAATTCATATATAAATGAAATGTAATAGTCGTTGGCAATAGGATTTTCATCCAGATGCTTCTAATAGAAGATTTTTTGGCAATCACTCAAAATCAATTGATTCTTTGAATCTAGATAAAAGCTCATATTTAACTAAGTACCACTTTGTTTTTATTTTTCAAAAGGTAAAAATTGATATTTTTTTTTAATTTCTCTAGTTTAGAGCCTGAACTAATAGATAGCTCATATGGAAAAAGTGAAACTATTATAGTGTGGGAAAAATCAATGTCCTACCACTTATATACATTAGTAACTTGAAAAACTGTTTAATTTTAATTGTAAACCTTGTCTAATTCACATGTTTATTAAATTTATTTAGTTCTATATATTATAATTAGTTAAGGGTGCACACGAGAGGATCATGTAAACTTCAGAATTTAGAACCTTATTTTTAGGCATTATCTTGGCTACCTATTTAGGCTCGAAAAGCAAAAAATATCAAAAAATACAACTTGACTCCATTATGACCCTTTCATGGAGGTAGTTTTTATCCGCTAGTATTTTCCCTTTGAATCTCTTTACAATTCGAAATCAAATTCAAAACTCAGTAGAAGAAAGGAAGAATCGACTTACTACGGTTGTAATACAAATAAATACATATATTTAATTATTTTTATTTACATAATAATTGTTTGAAGCTCATATTCCATCAAATTTTTAAATAAAAACATTAAAATGTTGAAAATGTTCATATATTTTAATAGGGTTTTGGCACTTTATTGAGGAATTACTACATACATAGTCGAACTGAACTTGATATTTTGAAATTTAAATTATTTATCAAAATTAAAATTTAACTTGAAATTTATAATTATTTAGTCATATTTTGCATAATTCTAAGTAGATTTTGTAAAAAATCAAGAAAGAAAAATTTTAACGTGCTTTATTTTTTCTTTTTTATAATAATACATATTATTATATAATTAACATATTCATAATGTTTCACCCTTTCAAAAATATAATCCTCCTCCTCTCAAATAAACGTACATACGGGTGGCCTCTTTTTTCAAAAAATTAAAATTTGAAATTTTGGGCTCAAATATTAGAGATTTTTTCAACCTTCAACGATATATGTTGTCTATATCAGACCTCCTTTCTTTTTGATACTTAACATTGTTCCTAAATCTTAGCCGTTAAGGCTGTTCTGAAAATATTTTTTTTTCGAAAAAATTCAAAAAAAATTCTTAAAATTCAAAAATCCCTTAATTCCTGAGGATTTTGGAAAAAAGTTTTTACATGAACATGTGTATATTATATGAAGTATATTGATAAGGTAAAAATCAAATTTTATTGCATATTCATCGAGAAAATAAACTAACGAATCCCTCAAAATTGAGAGGGTAATCCTCCTCCTCTCAAATAAACGTACATACGGGTGCACCCTTAATAGTTTTAATATTTATTGTTTTCGCTTGATTATAATTTCAAGAATCTGACCAAGTGCTTTCTTTGGATATTTTGGATCAAGGTTGGCAAGCTCTGTGCGCAAAGCTTCAGATTCTGTCCTAGAAAACTCTTCGAAATACTGAGGAATCTTCAAATCAGCGTAAAGTTGTTTAATATCATTAACGTACTCTTCATGGCCGATTTTTTCTTTAAGAATCTTCTTTTGATCGTCATTGGCCAACTCATAAGCCTTGCAATAGCACCAACTAATTTTTGCGTCCTGAATATCAGTTCCAATCTTACCTGTATGCTTTGGATCTCCGTAAACATCGATATAATCATCTTGAACTTGGAAATAGTTGCCTAATCTGATCATAAACTTTTCAATATCTTCAAATTTGTCGTCAACATCGTATATTTGACTTCCAATAAGGCCAAAAACTATAGGAGAGACAACTGTATAGAATGCTGTTTTGTATGTTACAATTTGGTTGTATTCTTGGAATGATGGTATTTTTGCTATGAAATCGTATGTTTGGCCAATAGTTGTGTATGTACCAATCTTACGTGAGAATTCAATTAACTTTGCGTAGTATTTAGTATTGAGTTTGTTGCGAATTTTGTCCAATAAGACATAAGCTAGATCTTGAAGAATAAGACCATCATTAACAGCTTGGTCACCAACTTCACACAATTTCTTCACGTTTGTACCAACATTCTTGGCCTCTTCTCGTTTCAGATTGATCCATCAAGTCGTCGGCTATCAAATAACCAGCGTGAATGATCTCTTCAACCCAGCCGAGATAATATCCAACCTTAGCTTCTTCAGAATCTGGTGAGTATCCAGTTAATTCAAGATAAACAGCTGCAGTCATAATTCCTCTAAGCATTTTTCCGCCTTTTGTTGAATATTCAAGCATATCTATGCAGTGTTTTTGTACCCAGTCAACAGTGAATCCGTTGAGAAACTGGCTAATGCATTCTTTAACTTCTGGATAGAAAGCAAAAAATTCTTTGCTGCAATTCATATCAAAAAAGATAATTGAATGGAGATCACCAATTTATTTAAAAAACAGACCCTCAAAATTTATCGTTTTTTCCCAAATTTGCCAACACATCATAATTCTATAATACATACAAATACACAACGTTCAGAAGAAATCGATATATGAAGAGTTTACTACAAAGACCTATTCAATGGTGACAGGAAAACATGTCAAAATTACCCGAATGAAGCATGTGCATCATATTACTACTTAGGAAGTTTGTCTATTTTTAGTAGATATAAACAGAGTTATTTATTTTAATTTACCCCCAACTTCCAAATAACTCCATAACTTATTTAGTTTGTATTCTTCTTCTGCTTCAAGTGATGCAAAAAATTGTCTTAATTATATCTCAGAAAATGCTCTGTTTGAGTGGAGAAAGACTTAGGATCAGGTAACAATTTTACTTCATATAAAGCAAATAAAAGACCAACTAGTTATGGAAAAAGTGAAACATTTGATTAACATAATCAACTCCCAAAAGATCTCAATCAATGGATTGATCAATATCATAATAGTGATGTTATTGATTTTAAGTTTCAATAAATAATTAAAAATTGATATATTGACAATAGAATTCCAAGATCATTTTAGGAATGATTTATCTCATTAATCTATGAATAGTTGCAAGGAAATATTTCCGAACTTAGACATTGTTAACAAAACAATCTTCATGATTATATTACATCGTTAATTGGTAACATCATTGTTTGATAAATTTAAATTAGGAAATTGATATATATTATTTTACAGCATGAGAGTTAAGTTCTTTCTTTCTCCATTAAAGCACATGATATATGCAATAGATATAGTCAAACTAGCTCCACAATAGATTTCAACAATACCATATTATCATTATTAATAATGAATACGCGAGACCATTTTCATTTTTTTTTTCGATGGGCCAATAATTGTTCTTTAGTTAGGGTGCTAGATTGAGCATCAAAACCAAAACATCCCATATATATTGCACACCTTTCATGAATAATGAATTTTGACGAAATCTATCATCAATTGGATTACAGTTGCATCAAAAAAGAACCCCATTTTTGCTTAAATTCAATATTATCATTAAAACCAGTACTATAATCATGTTAGAATTGCCAATATATCTACATTCACATGTGATGCCATTATAAACTTTCAAAAAACAGAAGTTATCCATCAAATTCTTATGAAACTAATATCAAATAAATGAAATTTGAGTTAAATTATATCAGTCGAGAAATAGGTACAATCTCAGATCGATAAACAATTTTCTATTGATATAACAAGCACTAATAAGTATCTTGTATGGCACGCATAATAATTTACCAATTCATCTATTTATACGCCGAATCTTTTGAAACACAAATTCATACAAATGCTTTCTCAGATACATTTACAAAATCCTATATATTGCTAGATATAACAGACTGCAGCTATAGAAACTGAAATGATTTTTCAATCACCAAATACATAATTTGAAATGTATTTTGCATCATGTACAAAGAAATTGTTTCAACAAGTTTCACTGATTATAATGATTGATTTATAACATATGAAATAGAAAATTCATTAATATGTGGGTTCTAGAATGGAAAGCTGGAATGATTCTTGATTTAAAAGCTAATACAAAATAAAGATTCAATCATTTTGAGTTTATTTAGCTTGCTTAAGTAAATCGATTATTAATACTGTTTAATAATCCAACTAAATTATTTAAGCTAATAGATTATGATTTAAAATAAATATAATTTTTTTTAATAATAAAATAACAAACAAATATTTATAAATTAGGCAAATGTAAGAGGAAGCGATGCTCGTGCATTTTTGGCTCGGTTTCCAGGCAAATTTAGCAAAGAATCAGGATAATTTCGAATTGTAGATCGAGTATATTCTTTAGATTCTGATTCAGAGTGGAGAACTCTTTCAACACAGATGAGTCCTGCAGCATCTTCTGCTGTGAATCGATGTTGGGGTTTTGATTGAACAGAGTTTGC